TAAGTCCAGTCCAGTCCTCATGGCAGGACGTGACAATGACCAGATGCCCACAGGCGATTTCCAGAGGCGGTTTCATGGCACACACTGGGCAGCAGGAGCAAAGGCCTGGCTATCCTCCCCCGTGTCCAGCCTAAGGAAGGCCAGGCAATGTGGGGCCCAGATGACGGGTCCCCGACACCCTCGGCCCCTAGCATCGGCCAGGACCCTGTGGAGCTTTCTGGAAGGCCCCAGGCCCCTCAGAATAGCTTGGCTGATCTTCAGCAGCCTTAATTCCAGTGCGTCCCAGGTTCTGAGAATCTACTGTGGAGACAGGGCAGAGCAACAGCACAGCAGGTGGGACGCTTGGCTGGCACACAGTCGACCTGGGTTCCATCCCTCGCACCCTATCTGGTCCCCTGAGTCCCTTCAGGAGTGATCCCTGAGCACATAGCCAGGAGTCAGCCCTGAGCACTGCTAGGTATGGCCCCTAGCCATAAAACAAACAAAACATCTGTGGGGTAGGGGAGACAGTCTGAGGGTCAAGGGCCAGGCCTTGCATGCACCGACCCAGGTTTGAACCCCGGCACCACTGGCATGAACAGTGCCACATGAGCACCACCAAGCTGGCCCCAGTGATAGATGCTTCGCATATAGGAGCCCAGGGTTCAATTCCCTGCACCATATGGTTCCTGTAGCCCAAATTTTTATTTTATTTTTGGGGGGTTTGTTTGTTTGTTTGTTGAGTCATACCTGGTGATGCATAGGGGTTACTCCTGGCTCTGCACACTGGATCTACTTCTGGCAGATTGGGGGACCATATGGGATGCTGGGAACCGAACCAGGGTCAGCCGTGTGCAAGGCAAACGCCCTACCCGCTGTGCTATCACTCCAGCCCAAACACACAATTTTATGATTTTTTTAAATTCACAGGCACAGTCCTCCCGTTGTTCATCGATTTGCTCGAGCGGGCCCAGTAACATCTCCATCATGAGACTTGTTGTTACTGTGTTTGGCATATCGAATACGTCACGGGGAGCTTGCCAGGCTCTGCCGTGCGGGCGAGACACTCTCGGTAGCTTGCCGGGATCTCCGAGAGGGACGGAGGAATCGAACTCAGGTCGGCCATGTTGGCTGCGTGCAAGGCAAACGCCCTACTCGCTGTGCTATCGCTCCAGCCCAGTTCTCATGACTTGAGAAGTCCTAACAAGTGTCCCCCCACATGGGCAGAAACTGGAAACCAACGCTTTCTAAGTGGGGCCTGGCTTTACCAAGTAGAAAGAGGGGCTGGTGTCCCTGGCCTCACAGGTAACACATCAGGTAAGTCGAGTATTTTACTTTCTACTGGAAACCCGGGAAGATTATTCCTATTTCAGAAAATCCCCATTTCCTCAGACAGATTCGACGCCCCCTCAGGCACCAGCTCCGTGCTGCACCTGGGTGCTAGGATGACCCCCTCTGTGTCCGAACCCCTTGCCCAGTCCTGCCTCCAGAGACTTCCCCGCAAGTACAGGAATGTGTGAGGAAGAAAATCTCCACTGCCCTTCGGTTTGAATACCATGTAGAGGCATTTGGACAAGATTATGATTTGGACTTTTTTTTTGGGGGGGGGGGCGGTGGGCTTACTACATACATACTAATAGTATGGTAAGTGTTGTGTCTCTAAATACTGTGTCCAGGGCCCAGAGAGATCGTGTGGTGGGTAGGACATTTGTTTTGCATGTGGCCAACCCAGGTTAATCCCCGTCATCCCATAATATGATCCCCTGAGCATGCCAGGAGTGATCCCTGAGTACAGAGCGAGAGTGAGCCCTGAGTCCTGCGAGGTGTGACACCCAAAACCTAACACCAAACAAACAAACAAAATACAACCAATAAATGTTGTGTCCATTCTGAGCCTTATACAAGAAAAAAAAAGTCAGTGTTTAGTTAAACAGTTCAAACAAGCTCACAGGCAACAGGTCTGATTTTGGGGTGTAAACGCTAAATAATAATGGTGCATCTTTTGTCGAAACAATGAATCTAATCAAAGTAGACAGAGTGTTAACTAGAATTCATCTGCCTCACAGGCATTGGGAGGGGGGTATATTGGGGTTCTTGGTGATGAAAAATAAGTACTGGTGAAGGGAAATGTATTTGATGATTGTATGACCGAGACTTAAACCTGAAAGCTTTGTAACTTTTCCCACAGTGATTCAATAAATAAATTATATAATTTTAAAAAAAAGCTCACAGGGAAGGATTATAAAGCCGATGTTAATTTGGGGGGAGGGGGGAGGGGACCTACTCCATGAAACCACCTTCACCACCACTGAACAGGTATTATGGAGATTCAGGAGCGGCCACAGGAAAGGGTCCATCTCGTCTACTTCATACTTGACCGTTTTCAAGAATGATGGCCCCGGAAGAGCTGCCAGTGATTTGATTACACCAGGACACCCAGTGTAGGAAAAGGGTCTAACCAGGCAGGGGCACTGTCGGTCTCATAAGGCAGCAGGCAGACCCCTACTGGGGAACCCCATCACAGCTGAAAGCATCTCTGAGTTTGACCTCATCCTCGCCCCAGGACAGCCAATGTCCCCACCCCAGAGAGACTCTTAATTGGGTGGAAACATATTAGAGGAAGGATTAGGTGTAGTGGAAGGGTGTTGCTGAAGTGAGATGAAATGATTAATTAGCACCCTGGGGACTTGTTCTCACCAAGAGAAGCCTGGCTGGCTCAGGAGAGGAAAAAAAAAAAGAAGCTGGAGTCAGAGTACAGGAGGTACGATGTTTGCCTCGCACACAGCTGACCTGGGGTTTGAGCCTTAGCATCCCACATGGTACCCTGAGCACCACTAGGAGTAATTCCTGAGTGCAGAGCCAGGAGTAAACTCTGAGAATCACTGGGTATGGCCCAAAAAACAAAAGAATTTTAAAAGAAGGAAGGGAGTGGGGGAGGGCTGTGGGGAAGGAGGGCTGGAGGGAGGGAGGGAAGGAAGAAAGGAAGGAAGGGAGGGAGGGAAGGAAGGCAAGGAAGGAAGGAAGGAAGGAAGGAAGGAAGGAGGGAGGGAGGGAGGGAGGGAGGGAGGGAGGGAAGGAAGGAAGGAAGGAAGGAAGGAGAGAGGAAGAAAGAAAAGGAGGAAAGGAGGGGAGAGAGAAAGGAAGAAAGAAAGGAAGGGAGGGAGGGAGGGAGGGAGACAGACAGACAGACAGACATAATTCAGAGTGAGCAGATACTGGCCCTGAGTACCTAGGAGGTCTCCACCGAGCAGAAAGCAGGAAACAACTTCTGATTAAAGGGCTCCTGGGTTGGGGGTTGGAGTGATAGCACAGTGGGTAGGGCGTTTGCCTTGCACGCGGCCGACTGGGGTTCGAATCCCAGCATCCCATATGGTCCCCCGAGCACCGCCAGGAGTAATTCCTGAGTGCAAAGCTAGGAGTAACCCCTGAGCATCGCGGGTGTGACCCAAAAAGCAAAAATAAATAAATAAGCGCTCGTGGGTTTCTATACAGCCCATGGGGGAGCAAAACACTGTGCCCCTTCCCAGGAGGGGTGGCAGGCGGCTGTCCCAGGGCAGGGCTGGGGATGGAGCCCAGGGAAGGCGTTTCTGGGCAGAAGTTTGGGCGGGAGGCCCAGCAGCAACAGGGGAGCCGGGTGAGGACCCAAAGGCCCTTTCTGGAGAGCCTCAGGGCCACGTTCTGGAGGACAGCGTGATGCATGAAGGCCTGAGCAAACAGCACCAGGAACGCCCAAGCAGCAGAGAACAAAGAAACTGGACAGAAGGGCAGCAGGTGAGACTCTGCCCAGGCAAACACCGATCCCCGATCCCCAAATGGACCAGGTGCTGCCCAGCGGGAGAGTCTGAGCCCCAGGTGCCTCTGAACTCCAGGAAGCCTTGGAGGGAGAGACCGGCTGCTCGGAGCTGGTAGGGAAGGGCACTAGGTAGCAGCTGACCTTGAATTTGCAGCTCCAATGTCTCCTTGGACAAGCCTTGGTCAAAGCCTTGGTCAAAACTGTCAGTTTTGCCTAACAATGCGCACAAAACTAGGGCACAACTGAAGACTGAGAATGAAAGGCCCCACCCTTGTTTCTTCTTTCTAATCCACATTCCAGCTCTCCACTCACCAAACTTTCAAAGGTTGGGACTTGCACCATGTTAGCTGCCAGATAAGACCTTCACACGTCTTGTTATTACTCTTTAACACTCAATCCTGTCAGGCGAGGCCCCCTGGGCGAGCCCTGCCCTTCAGGAACCACTCTGATCAGAATCTAGGAAACCCGGGACTCAGCCGGGTGCGAGGGCTGAAGCCACTCACCTAGAGGCAGAAGTCCAGGGTTCGATCCCCTGCTCGGTCTGGCCGCCAGGCACAGAGAGGGAGGACCCCGAGTAAGAACCTTCAGATCTCTGAATCCAAACCCCGAGATAAATGTACACAGCGAACTACACGTTTCCGTCTAGAGAGATCTCCCTTCACTGCTTCCGACCATATGAAGGAACACCGGGTCTTAACTCAGGCCTCTTCGCTCTCGCTCTGATGTGGTCACAGCACAGGGCCCCGGGGACATGGCTGGACCTTCTCTGCGTGGCCTCAGAGCAGTCCCTGTCCTCGGTTCCCACAGACCCTTGCCCAAGCATCACAGAAGCTGCCGGCCCATCCTCGCAGCTGGGCCCCACACCAGCAAAGGGGCCTCAGGAGATGCCCTGTTCCCCCAAGACCTTCACACGTGCCACCCAGCAGGACACCAACCTTGGTGGCCCTGCGCTCCCTCCTCCGAGCTGGGCTCAGCGTCCTCCCAACTCGACACAAACCCCTTTGCCCGCACATCCCCCCTGTACCCAGCCTGCAGACGCCGCAGCACCTCTCAGATCCATGGCCCGGCCTCGGCCAGCCGCCAAGGAGGCGTCCCCCAACCCAGCGAGGAGGCCTCGGCCCTTAGGCACAGACCTGAGTCTCCTTTCCCCGTAGGAGGCCTCAAACCCGGTCCCCCACCCATCACCGGCCACCTCAGCCGTACCGCCCACCACACACACCCAGCTCACCTTTCTTCCCGCACCTGAGGGCTCAGGAGTCGGCCCGAGTCATCGTCGTGGCTGCTCTGCTGGCTGCTCTGCTGGCTGCTGGGGACACACAGAGGGACAGACAAGAGGGAAACGGTTCACTTCTTGCCCAACTGCAGGGAGAGCCCAGTGAGCCCAAGAAGCGGGTTACAAAACTCCAGCACGCAACTTCCCCCATGTGAACGGACGGGGCGGGTGCTGGAGGGATGGTGGCCCGAGAGAAGGGACCAGCAGACACCCCCTAATCCCGCCTTCATTCTCCCCTACCTCACCCACCTCCCCGGAGCACCGGCTGGGAAGGCAGGAAGAGCCTGGAGGCAAAGGCCAGTTTCTCTGCCCAGGGGGAGGAGGGGGGAGGGAGAATAAAGTCTGAATAAAATCCAACTCCCGCTTCCTCCCCCCTGGAGGGCGGAGGCTGCGGCCCAGAGAGTTCTGGATGGTGCGTTAAGGAAAAGAGGAATTCGGGGCTAGAGTGATAGCACAGCAGGTAGGGCGTTTGCCTTGCACGCGGCCAACCCGGATTTGATTCCCAACATCCCATATGGTCCCCTGAGCACCACCAGGAGTGATTCCTGAGTGCAGAGCCAGGAGTAATCCAGGTATGACCCAAAAAGCAAAAAAAAAAAAAAAAAAAAAAGGAAAAGAGGAATTCAAAGGGGTCTCCTTCCAGAGAAAGAAACACCTGTTCAGGTCACTGTGTGATAGTACAGAGGGGAGGGCGATTGCTTTGCACGTAGCAGACCCAGGTTCAATCCCTGGCACCCCATATGGTTCCCCAGCACCGTCAGGAGTAATTCCTGAGTGCAGAGCCAGGAGTGACCCTGAGCATCACCGGGTGTACGTGATCCAAAATAACAACAACAACAACAACAACAACAAGAAATTCTGCTTACAAGTCTCCAGACACTCACCGAACATGCAGCTGATCAACAAATCATTTTCAGCAGTTGCTCATGATCAAATACTGATCAGGAAGGTGCCAATGACAGCCCCCACCCTCCCAGGCCAATCTGGGCTGTCAAGTTTTTTGTTTGTTTTTATAACCTGAGGCTTAAGAATAGTGTTTTTGTTTGTTTGTTTTTAAATGGTTTGGGGCAAACAGTATTTCATGACAAGTACAAGTTCTATAATATTCAGCTTCCAGGTCATCAATTTTTACTGGACCACGGCCACACCCAGTGCTTCCACTGACCCCAGCAGCTATTCTGCTACCAAAGCAGAGCTAAGTAGTTAAACAGTTCAGAGCTGAAGGGCTAAGTAGTAGGACCATTAGACGCCAGAGTTGAAAATATTTACTAAGGGGGCCTGAGCGACAGTACAGCCAGCAGGTAAGGTGCTTTCCTTGCATGTGGCTGATCCGGATTTGATTCCTCACATCCCATATGGACCCCTGAGCACTAGCAGGAGTGATTCCTAAATGCAGAGCCAGGAGTATCCCCTGAGTACTACTGAGTATGGCCCAAAAACAAACAAACAAACAAAAAAAAAAAACAAGACACAAAAATTACTATGGGGTTGGAGCGGCAGTACAATGCTAGGGTGCTTGCCTTGTATGTGGCTGATCCAGGTATGATCCCCGGCATCCCATATGGTCCCCTGAGCACCTTCAGAAGTGAGCCCTGAGCGCAGAGCCAGGAGTGAGCCCTGAGCACTGCCGGGTGGGAACCAAAATCAAAACAAAAAAAATGTAATCTAGTCCCTTAGAAGAAAAAGTTACCTCCTGCCACAGCGGTAGGGCATTTGCCTTGCACGCAGCCAACATGGCTGACCCGAGTTCGATTCCTCTGCCCCTCTCGGAGAGCCCGGCAAGCTACCGAGAGTATCTCGCCCGCATGGCAGAGCCTGGCAAGCTCCCCGTGACGTATTCGATGTGCCAGACACAGTAACAACAAAGTCTCCAATGGAGACGTTACTGGGCCAGCTCGAGCAAATCGATGAACAACGGGAGGGCCTTTACCTTTATCTGTTTACTTATATGAATCATAAATTCCTTTACCATAAAAATCACTATTACCTAGACTCCTGGGCTGGAGCGATAGCACAGCGGGTAGGGCGTTTGCCTTGCACGCGGCCAACCCGGCTTCAATTGCCCTGTCCTCTTGGAGAGCCTGGCAAGCTCCCCATGGCGTATTCGATATGCCAAAAACAGTAACAACAAGTCTTACAATGTAGACATTACTGGTGCCTGCTCAAGCAAACTGATGAACAACGGGAGGACAGTGCTACAGTGCTACCCATACTCCAGCTAATTAAAATGGTTTTCTTCTTTGGTGACTCATCCACAGCAACACCAGGCCTCCAGAGACAGGACCCTTGAAGGCTGCGAACCCTCAACTCCAACCACTGGCCCGCATGTGGAAAACGATTGGAAGCCATCAGTCTAGTACCCGAGTCTACTGCCAGGCTGCGGCTGATTTGCTGGTGTGAAGGTCAAAAAAAACTGCCCTGAACAGTCTTTAGGGTCAGGGCTGACGCCTGAGAAGCACACGGCTTTTTGTGTTCTTACATGCGAGTCTTGCAAGAAGTAAATAAGTAATGATCACTGGAGAATGCACTCTGCCTCCCCTCTCCTCTCTCTCTCTCTCTCTCTCTCTCTCTCTCTCTCTCTCTCTCTCTCTCTCTCTCTCTCTCACACACACACACACACACACACACACACACACACAAGAACAGCACAGCACTCCACCCAGTCTTCCCTGATAAACCAAGGGACACGCCATTCCCTCCTCTCTCATTCACACCATGCAAAGCACATTTTCTTGTGGGGGTATTGGGTCACACCCAGTGATGCTCATGGGGTTACTCCTGGCTCTGCACTCAGGAATCACTCCTGGCAGTGCTTGGGGGACCCTATGGGATGCCGAAGATTGAACCCAGGTCGGCCGCATGCAAGGCAAATGCCATACCTGCTGTACTATGGCTCCGATCCCGCAAAGCACATTTTTGTTTCTTGTTCGCTGTGGGCAGGACCTTCTGCCCAGAAGCCACGCTCCCAACCCCTTCTCTGAGCTTTCACTTTCCACGGTGTCCCTTACCCAAGGTCAACCACACTCCGAAGGTACCACACACAATGACATTTTTGAGACTGGCTTTTTTTCCCACAGTACGTTGTTCTGTCCTATTACTCGTTACTATTCAACTACTGGGTCTGAACTTTGCCGTAACAAGAAGATACAGAGAAAGTCTATCTGGGATTTGTCCACAGCCTCCGGCATCATCCCTGGAGGTAAAGGCAGATGTGCCACACCTGGGACAAGCCTTACATTGCAGCAGGCAACCCACGGGGAATGGGGGCTAAAGCCCCAAAGCGGATACCACGTCGGAAGCAAGTGCAGGAGGGGATGTGGAAAAAAGCGTGGTGGAGGGGGCTGGAGCGATAGCACAGAGGGTAGGGCATTTGCCTTGCACGCGGCCAACCCGGGTTCAATTCCCAGCATCCCATATGTTCTCCTGAGCACCACCAGACGCAATTCCTGAGTGCAGAGCCAGGAGTAACCCCTGAACATCGCAAGGTGTGACCCAAAAAAGCAAAAAAAAAAAAAAAAGAAAGAAAAAAAAAGCGTGGTTCTACTCTGCTGGGTGGCTCAGCCAGCAAGGCCACTTAAGCTAGGAGGGGCTGGCTCTCCCACCACCACCTTCCTCTTCTGGCTGTTGAGACCTGGCAATAAACAAAAGGAATGTGGAAGGAGGGGCAGGGGGTAGGGGTGCTCCCAGAATGAAAGAGTCCTGCACCCAGTTTCAGAGAAATAATTGAGCTGAATGAAATGAAATAAAAAAAAATGAAAATTGAGCTGCTCTATTAGCTCATCGCCCACTAGATGGCACTGTTAACTAAACCAGAATTCAAGGCTGGTGGTTCTTGGGGAACTAGACCTAAAACCAGCTTCTGGCGCCCCCTGCTGGCTTTCCATCGCTTAGACACGACCTCAGAGGGTCGCAGGTGAAAGCAAATCTCCCGGTGACGTCACTGGTTCCAGGTATGGTCCCACCCCGCAGCAGAGTCAGAAAATGAGCCCCAAAGAAGCCCAAGGCAATGGGTACGTCTGTCTCAGCCCTGGAAAGGACGCCTGGTACTGCACACAAACTCCTCCTGCTGGCCTCGAACAAATGATTCAACATCACTTTCCGTGTCCATAAGGCGGAGATAGACTCTAACCAGAGCTTCTACCTTGTGGAGCTTTTTAAGATTTAAAGAATAAAGAAATGTGACGAACAGAGAATAGTGGGGAGAGCGATGGGACAGCAGGGAGGGCATTTCCCTTGCCTGGGTCTGATGGAGGTTCCATCCCCGACACCCCATAAGTCCCCTGAGCCCTGCCAGGAGTGATCCCTGAGTGCAGAGCCAGAAGAAAGCCCTGAGCAGGTGTGCCCCCCCCAACAACAACAAAAATATAATGGTGCCTGGAACATATTTACAACTATTTATTTTATTTGTGGTGCTGGAGGACTTGTATGCAATGCCAGGGATGGAACTGGGCTCAACCACATGCCAGGTAAGCACCATACCTCCCACACCGTCTCCCTGGTGCTTAAGTGCTGTGTAAATGCTAGAGTTTATTAGCAGGTCCAAGGCCAGCCGTTTTCGTGGGCCAAGAAAATTAAAGACACAAACCACACACAGGTCTGTCCTCCAGGCCAGTCTAATCTGGAAAGTAAGAGCCTGTTTAATCAACTGCATTTGAGATATCACTCTGAGAAGCACATAGGAAATGTCACTGAAATACAGCAGAGAAAACGATCATTTCCCTCTAAGGCCCGTGAAAGAACATGTGTGAGGAAGCAGAACATCTCATACTTGACACCACTAGGAGACCAAGAGTAACACACCACATTCGATGGGGCTTGAGCTTTGGATCAATTCAGGAGGAGCAGAAATGCATCCCGGTCCGGCTTCCTACACCAAACACGGTGCCGGTACCAGGGACTGTCAGCGCCCCGTGGGACACGGGAGTCCCAAGGGCTCCCTGTTGCAACTTCTCAACAGGGAGGGTGGCACCACTATGTGTGGATGGACGTGTCAGGGAGGTGAGTGCTGAACAGAAGGGACTGTGGCTAGTCCC